ATTAGAAAGGGTACCTAGTTGAGGAGCACACTTAGAAACCTGCTGAGAACCTTACTCATACTCTTAAGATAATCTAAGACTTCTATCAGCTTCATTCTAGTACTCTACACAAACTCAGTCTTACAGATTTCTAAGCCCTACCATTCTAACTTATGTTTAAACTACTAACCAAGCCTAATGTTTACTAATTAGAATGATTAGTTTTAGAGGGAGGGTAATGTTACAGTTCTCTACTCTTGTACCTTCAGTTCTAAGGGTTCTACACTCTTCTATACTAGAACTCAGGACTTCTGTCCCTTAAGAGTGTTATTTATAAACTATATACATACTAACTCTTACTACTACCCCTCCTTACTTTATCATTCTATTCCTTTAACTACTCTTTCATTCTTTGTTCATTCTATAGTCTCTTACCCTTTGTTTATCTCTTTATTCTTTGTTCCTTTATCTTTAACCTTCCTTTCTTTTATTCTTTATAGCTTATCATTCTTAGTAACTTATACTCTCTAAGTACTCTTGTGTAGTTTAATATATATAAGTGTATAAGATCAGACTAGTCCTGTAGTCTTAATCTTGTTTACTCTAGATAGTTCTATACTCTTAAACTTACTTTATACACTCTACTCTTGTCTCACTCTCTCTCTCTGTCTGTTCTACAAGTTCTGACTACATTCTAGTACTTACATTCTGTATTTCTGTTATGTAGGATAGTTGTAGCCTAGGTCCCCTTACTAAGCCTTTAGGTCCCTTCTACACTATTACTAACAGTACCTTTATAAGACTTCTAACACTCATATGTGTTATAAAGTTTACATAAATTGTATCAGTTATTGTTTTCATTATATAATAATACAAAACATTACCTGTATATATACTAGTATTATTAGAGGAAGGGGGATTGTACTCTAGATAGTCTGAGAGTATTATAATAGTAAGTATACTATGTGTTAGAATACAAACATTTATTAGTATATATAGTATAAACTAGGTGTCAAGCTAAGCTTAACATTACACCCTTTTAGTAAAGAGGTTCTATATATAGTCTACTATATATGGTAATCCCTTACATAATGTTAAGCTTAGAGTAGTTAGGGGTTTGATTCTAATGTAGGGTTGTCTGTAAGTAAAAGTATTAGGCTAAGAATAAGTTTTCTAAAAGGGGGGGAGTGAATTTCTTAGTTGCTTAGAATACTAGGGCTAGGACTCTATATTAGAATATCTCTCCCTACCTCTAAAGACTGTCAAGGTTAAGTTAGAAATAGTAACCCTTAGGGTCAAACTTTATATACTAGTTATATAAGAACACATAACTCTAGAGAGGAGAGTAATGTTAGAACACAAACATTTATTAGTATATATAGTATAGACCAGATGTTAAGCTAAGCTTGACATTGTACCCTTTTAGTAAAGAGGTTCTATGTATAGTCTACTATATATGGTAATCTCTTACACTATGTATACATAAGTGTTATATTTTGTATCTCTTTATACTAGCCAACTTTTCTGTTCCCTCAAAGAACTTTATAATGTTAGAGTCCTTTATTATAGTATTAACAAAGGTATACATTATAAACAACATTATAATAAGTTTAGGAGGAGAGAGAGGTCTAGGGCTTGGTAGGCTAGTAGGAGGTAAAGGCATTCTGTAAGAGTAAGTATGTAGAGGCATTTAATAAGTACTAAGACTTATAACCTTTTAACAAGTATAGTAGGAGTACTCTAAATACTCTCTCTCTTATTAAGACATTAAGTAAGTGTCTGCCTTATATACTATATAGTAACATCTGATAGTCTAAGACATTCCAAGTATAGTAACTCTACATAAGGTAATTAAGGATTTTCTAATCTAGAGTACAATCTAATACCTTTTTACATACTGTTTAAGGGTTGAAGCATTCTTCAAGCACTATTATCAGCTGAGAGATAAACATATTAAAGTGTATATAGTTTACTAATATAGTATTAGTAATGTTGTTAACTATACACACATAAATAGCCTTAGCTATCTCCCTCTTAACTTTGTTCTGTAGTTCATCCTTTAGTAAGTGTTTGAAGTATGTAGCTGTAACACTAGAAACAATACAGTAGTACTACATCTTATAGTTTGCTTCAGTCTTAAGCATTATAATGTTTTGACTAAAGTATTTAAGTATGTTAGCTAGTTTGTAGTATGTGTTAGTGTAAGAGGGAACCATCTTACTAAGTTAATGTGGGCAGAGAGTGTAAGGCTCATAACCTGTAAAAAGAGAAGGTATACAAGGACAAGGGGCAAGGTAATGATTGACTACTTAGTGTCTTTTGTCCTTATATTGTATGTATTCTAACTAAGACATTATAAAGTCATTGTCTTGTAATAAACTCATCATCTTGTAATAGAAAGTCTGCTACTTTGTATTACTTGTTAGACTGTGTTCAGTGTAATAGTGTAGCAAGTTCATACTGTAGTATACTGTATGTTACATTCATCTGACTAGACAGACCTTATGTTCAAATATATATATACACTTTCATAGAAATATAATAAGCCTTTACTGTCTGAGACTGACTGTGATTGAGAACAAAGAAGATGAATAATCTCATACTTTTTATTACATACTTATTGTACAATACAAAGGGATGCTACTTATGTAGTCATTAGTACTAGTACTTAGTAACATTACATTTAGAGTTATACTAGTTTATACACCCACTTACTATATACATGTATACTCTACTTTGTCAATTATACTAAACCAACTATCAGTTCCTACTAGATCTAGTAATCAATCAAGCAAAGCAGAATGGTTTTGTGTATATATATTACATACTACTTTCTTATGAAGCTAGTATAACTGTACAGTAAAAACTGATATAATGTCTGAACTATCTGGTTTAGAGCTGAAAGCAACATTAAGACAAGGTACTCTGGATAATTGTGAGTCTACACAAATATATTGTGTAGGTACAACAATGTTGTTAATGTACTTTTAATACAGATCCTATACTGTTAACTGGATACAATAAGACTATGAAAGTTAGTGCTACTAGTATACAGTCTACATTTTGTGAGTACACTTCTACTATATTGACAGCTACTAATTGGAAGGTAATATACACTGGAAACTCATTTTCTATAGCTTATAGAAAGGATGGCTTTTGTATATTTGCAAATGGGGAGATTTGTTATAATTTTATTAATATGTATAGATTTCCAGGATTTTCAGCTAATGAACAGAAGAGGAGGCTGGAATTATTCATAACTATAATAGACTACTTGCTTGAACATTATAGAAAGTATTATATATATCTGAGTACAGAACAAGAAGAGATAAAGAGAATATTAGAGTAAAAGAAAGGTAAGGTACAAGAGGAGATAAAGAGACTATAGACATAAGAGGACTGAAAGAGAAAGGAAGAGCAGGGACAGTTGTACTTAATATTTAATACTATTATTCTCTGCCTGAAAGAATTCATACAATATATTCTGAGAGAAAATCAAACAGGAATAGACTAAATACAATATAAGGAATGTTCTCACAAAAAGTAAAGTTAAAAGTACAGGTAATAAAGGTTCTAACAAATAATGACTCAGGCATTTTTACTAGTAATAGTTATAAAGTGCACTTTTAGTTGTTTAATATAATACATGCTAGAAACAGTATAAAATGAATTATAAGAGTATATACTAAAAGTAAGGTATAAGTAAATGATTCAATTAAAGTACAAATATGACACTTGTGTATTTCTATTATTAATGTTTAGGAATAAAGAGGATGAGTTAATCAGTTAGAGTCTGTTAGTAGATTAAGGAAATCTGTTATAACTAGTATATTATAAACAAAAAGATAGTAAAAAAATATGGAAAAAGTTACAAAGAAAGAGAGAGAATGTAAATTTCACTTCTGGCTTAGTATTAATTGACACATAGTGTAAGATACACGTCTGATAAACTCGACAAGCTAGTCACGTCACGGTCACAACCCCTCGCTTACCAAATTAGGAAGGCCCCTTACAGCGAAATTTCAGAGTGTAACTTCAACTTGAAGTTTTGCCTCAGCCAAAGATGATTCTATATAATACAGAGAAGAGAATCTTGCCTATTTTCAGATAGAATTAAATATTACAACAATAAAATATTTGACTATTACAGGCTGTATCTATAATTTTGTAGCTTTGTCAAGATGATTACACCATCCGATCATTATGACAAATACTATATATTATAAATGCTATTATGTAATATACATATATAGCAGTTATTTGTCATATATCCTTATCTAATGGTGGCGAAATCTGAAGGAAAAAAATTTAAAAATTAACCAGACTGCTGGAAAAGTATAATTACAGCATTTAGAGTAAAAAACATAGTTTGCAAAATAACTCAGCCAATATTCACTTTTAATAAATTCTGTTCCATCATTTTGTAGAGAAGGCTTAATACAACAAATCAATGGTGCTACTTTTTGAGTTTTGGGTCTCTGGATGGACGAGTTTCGTGCTCATTGTGGAGGCTGCATTAGGAAGGTAAGGTTACATCACATGAATCACACAGCTTGTCAAGTTTATCAGACGCATATCTTAACAAGTCTAGGAGATACATTACAGTAGTCTACTAATACATATAAACCAATTAGTAAGTAAGTATCTAGCAATTTGTAGTATTAAACACAATAAAGAAGCTGTATTACAACACATATTGAAATACAGACCTGCCTGATCAAACTGTTATTTACACTTGATATTACTTTGTTCCAAAGTACTTAATAAATAGGTATAAACTGTCTAGAAACTCACAAAAGTCAGGTGAAACTGTAGACTGGTTCGATAGTTAGTCATGTACAACAGGATCATTAGAGGTGTTGTATCTTTGCAACTCATCAATCTATAATTGATGTACTCAAAGTTGATAAGCAATCATACCATGTATATGCTTTGCTTGTACAGTAATGTACTCTTCATATGCCTATAAATATTCTCCCTACATCTGTTTTGTACTGTAGTAAACAAAGCCCACCAGCATTATGTCTGAACACTATGCAAGAAACAACTCTTCTGCAGGCAACTCCAATATAGCGTTGGAAAGGTTGAAAAGCACATTGAGGGATGGTACTCTGTCTGACTGTGAGTTTGTATTAACCCATTATGAGTCTGTATGTACTGTACATATTTAAAATTCTTACCTGGATACATGTAGATCTTGTTCTTCTGACTGGAAGCAGGGAAACAGAGGCAGTCTACCCTACTGTATTCATGCAAGTAGAAGACAAAAACGTGCCGGGTGGTCGCAAACCTCTAGCAAGCGCTACGTTTGAACCCAGTAAATTTGATGTATCAGAGGTCCCAGATACAGTCACAGGCTTGCAGGCAGCAAACGGTGAGCAATGTCTTTGTCTCTTGAGATATCAGAACCATGCTTATTGTGAAATATGTACTTTAACCATAGACTACAGGGAGAACTGTGTCTTCGCAATCGGAGACAAAACGTGTAAATGCTTTGCTTCGGTTGAGAGAAAGCCAGCCTGGTCAAAAGATGAAAAGAAGAGGAAGATAAGACTGTTTCTGGTCTTATTGAATACATTGATGGCACATTATATTGCCTGTCATAAAAGTGGCGCAAGCGAAGAGCAGAATGAGTTAAACAGAATTATCCACGCAAAAAGAAGAGTTGTGGAAGGGCAAGAGAAGGCAATAGGGTAAAAGCATGGAGGCGCGAGCCAGACAAAAACAGACAGAAAATGTAGTTCTGTTTGTTAATCGTTGCAGGCAGACTAACATGTCTAGTAGTATTTAAGAAATGTATACTGTACATGAGAGCTTGCCTGTCTTTTGAAATGAAGAATGAAATTGAACAATTTAGATTAATACAGGTGCTAACTATGCGGTATGAATGTCAGATGTGGGCGGCTCTAAACCCGTCTCAAGCTGTCAAGACCCTAGGTTGTATGATATAAAATCATTGTAGAAGAGAGACAGAGAGATAAAAACAAGAGGAATGAGGGAAAAGATGCAGCCAGAACAGCCTCAGCATACTGCTATCCTTCTTAGCTTATGCGTGAACAGGCTAGAGAGGGTCGCCATACAAGGTGTGAGTAAGATAAATGACAGGCCTGTGAAGCGGACAGAGTGAGCTGGGGGTATGATTAAGTCTAGCTTGAAGAAGTTCTTTATCTGCAAGAAAAAAAATAAAAGTTAGTCGATACAGAGGGGGTAGGGGAAGAGAGAGCAAGGGGAAGGAAGTGCAGACTAGTCAATAGTGGCATAGTCTTGGAGGACAAACTTACAGAAGAGCTACTTTGCGATTTTCTCGTTACGATAAGTATGCTTGTTGATTGGACCAATCCTCAAGAGATTCGTTGCTTACGCCGCACCCATGGCATTCTTTTTCACCTTACCTAAACGGATATAGGGCTGTATGTGATACATTGCTGATTTGATTCAGCATTGATGTGATTCGTGCCCGCACTTTGCCAGTTCTCTATCGGACAAAGTGAAGCGTCTCGTATCTATTAATTTACCTCCAATCGGCTTCGTATCAAGATTCATTGTCGCAGGTACAGAGCCAACCACGTAGCAAGCATCATGTCTGAAAGCAAACAAAACCCTCCTGTTAATTAGGGATCCGAGTGTACCGTATACGGGTACGACCGTACTCTGTACGGGCCTGTACGGGGTACGGTCGTAAAAATACGACCGTTTTTTGAGTTCTAGGACACAAGTACGGCTACGGTGTGTACCGTATACAGCCGTATACGGTAATACGCTTGTAAATACAAATTTAATATTATATTAATAGAAAGAAATAATTAATATACTTTAAAATCGTTAAAAAGGCCTATTATTACTTTATATGTATGTCCCTATCAAATTAGCACTTGTTACACCCATTTTCATCAATATATTCAGTAAATCTGAAATATAATTTGTATAAAGTAATAAAAGATAGTCACATGACTAACTATTTTGAGAAGATACACATGGGGCATTTCACAATTCCTTACCTTAAAAAATAACTTACATAATGATAAACATTATTTGTAATTTAATTTACCACTTGTGGTTAATAGCAATTGTGAATAAAATTTAAAATTTTCTTTAAACAAAAACTAGAAATTATTGTTAACATTTCTTCATTTGTGAAATCTTAAAATAAATAGAGATAATAATCTAAAACATAATTTCAAAATAAAATTAGAAATTTTCTTTTGAATTTTTTGTTATTCCTCTGTACTAGTAATGAAAAAATTT